TACTTAAATAATTTTGATATATCTTATATATTTTTATTACTTTTGTAAAGTACTCATTTACTGATTGGTTGATATAAATGAAAATTTTCATGATCACGAATTGTTGCGAGTCAGAGTAGCTCAATTTGCAAGTTTTATTAAGCCAACTCGTATGATGATTAATATTTATTATCTAATCGATAGTATTAGCTATTAAATAATAATGATAAAATTGTATGATGTTTTTGGTCTTCTTATCATCATGAATTCGGCTAAGAATTGTTATTAAAGTTTATTAACAAATATTCAAAATTAAATTTAAATTTAAAAGTTATTTATAAATAACAGTACATTAAATAATAATTATTTTTTAATTAATTATATAAAATTATTTTAACTTTAAAACTATTTATTTTATGAATAATTTATATTTTTTATTTTTTAACTTATTGTTATATTTTATTTTTCTAATTTTTATAATTTATAGATATTTTATTTTTTATATTTGTAAAACAAAGAAACACACTTTTAGAAAAAAAAATCTTAATTTTAAATTAAAGCAACAAATTATTTATACAAATATTGTTATTTTTGTTTTTAAACAAAAAATTAAGTTTAAAAAATTATTTTAATACTTTATATTTTTAACAATAAAAAGATATTTATTTTTATTGTTGAAAAAAAAAGAAACTCTTCAAATTGTTTAATCTTTTAAAATTTAAAATCAAATAAAAAGTTTCTTTTGAAATTTTAAAATTAAAAAAATATTTTTGATTTGACGAGTCTCTTACATGTTCTCTGTGTATAAGATAAAAATTAAAATTTTTTAAAATTAGAGTTGAATAAATTTTAAAGATTTTTTTACTTATTTTTATAAGAAATAATTTTTAAAATATTAATTTAATTTGAAAAGAGATCTTTTTCTATTTTTGATTTTAAATTTTGAAAAAAATATTTTTTAACAATATATAATTTGAATGGTTAGAAGAAATATTTTAAAATTTATAAAAATAAATTAAAATCAGAAAGAGATTAAAAAGATTCACTCTTTTTATTTTATAAATAAATTTTATTATATAATATTCAAGTTAATGATAAAACTTTACTATCCAAATGATTTTAAAGAAGAATTCAGCACTTTAGTAACATTACACTTGATTGTTACGTTAATTCAAATTTATTTAAAAATAATAATTTTAAATTTTTTATTTTTAAATATTTGATTGCATATTAATGCATAACTATATACAGTATTAAAAATAATCAATCACTCTATTTAACATCGTTTGACTATTATATGAATTTAAAATATTTTTGAAAAAAAGTATATTTTATTTTTTGATTTGATTTTATTATTTTAGAAAAAATTCAAATAAAATTAGTTATTCATAATTTTAAATATTTATATCAAACTAAACTGTTGCTTAAAACTTGAGAGGAGTGCGTTCCAACGCGATTCCTCGTTATGGGGACGGGCAAGAAGTACCACGACATGGATTGCATAATTTAGAGAATCAATAAAATTCAAACGAATACCATTGACATGAAAAAAGAAAGGTAATCTTTTTCTCTTATTTTCTTCTCAACTGGGACACACATATTTTCAATTCTTTCCACTCTAATTCTCTCAAATGAATTAATATGCAATAAAATATTCATACTTAGTAAAATTACAATTACAACACACTATTATTAATGACACGTGACAGATTTAATGATTTATAATGTATGGAGATTATGGATCAAGAACTTGGGTCATAATTCTAGGATGCATGTTTGTCAATTATAAATGGGATGTTCTCTATTTCTCTTGAATGTAGCTCAGATGATTGGATCCAATAATTTAGTTGTGCTTGGTGGGTACACCTTTCAAAGACACCCCGTACAAATTTGACAAGGTTTGTCTAAATTATTTTATAAGATATATAACTTTATTTTAAATAATTTAGTAAAATGAAGAGATTATATTAAATTTTTATCAATAATAATTAGTTCATAAACATAATTGGATAAGCCTATGTTTAGTACAGACATAGATGTACTGTAAAATACAAGTCGGTGTGGTTACCCCACCCGGGAAGACCCACTATTTCTAGCACTTTTGCCAACACTGATTCCCACATACTCCAACTCATACGCGTCCATGGAACACAAATATCTAGTTAATATTTTTTATTGATGCATTCATTCTTATATTTCATAATAAATTTTTATATTTTTTATTGTATACATATTTTAATTATATTCAATAATTTAATATTGTTTTTATCAAATTAGTTGTTATATTCAACTTTAAAAAATGAATCTTCAGCTGATCGCCCAAATAACTTTTGGGGACAATTTGTGATTTATGGTGCAAGTCTCATTCATGACTTCTTAGGCCCAACATATTAGACCCAATTCTAAGTGAATAGAGGATTTGGTTTGTTGCAATATGCATACTAACCAATATTGTATTTTGGGCAAACATAGCATAGCAATAAGGCGAAAGTGGACCTATTATGTTGAACTTTTTTATGATATGCTAACCTTTTTCAGTTTTAGTCCTTATCTTTTCCCTACATTGATCAGGAGCTTTGGGGAGCTCAGCAATTCTACTGTGTCTTGTTGAACTGCTCAAGCCCATGTACTAATTTTTTTTTTTGTAGATGTATTTTTCCAATGTTGTTTACTCTAGTCCAAAAATATATTTGTACGTTCTCTTCTCTATTTCCATTTCCCCCAATTATCCCCTTTTGTATCAGTTTAGTGTATCATTCAGATACGTGTAAATCCATAATTTAGTGTATCAGTTTGGTGGAGCCAAAAAATTAGGTTAGTTTTTTCAAAGCTAAAAGACATTTTTATGGGATTTTTTTGTAATTGATTAATCAGCCAATCAAGATTTGGAACTTTCATTGTTGAAATTAAAATGGTAGGAGAGGATCCTCTCATGTTGAGCAGCATCTTCAAAAGTTAAACAGATCCATGCTCTTTTTGTTGGGAATAGTTGATTTGCAAGAATTTTACATTCTTGTGTATAAACCCTTACAGTACATGTTACATGATTATAAAGTTTTTTAAGATTAATGAACTAAATATAAGCATTTTAATTATTTATAAAGGCGTCAATTTTTTATTATAATACTTACTATTTATAATATAAACTTATGAATAAAGGGTTAAATTTAAAGATATTATATTAATTTGTTAATATTTATTTATTTATTTTAACTATTACCATCTCAATCAAGGTTGGATTATCAGGTCTTCAATTAGCTTATTCACCAATTTATAGCTGATCTAATTTAAGTTTTAAACTTATTAAAGATTTTTAAGTACTTACAACTTATATTTAATACATAGTTTGAAATATTGGTCCAATTCATTGTTGTTCTTGAATCAATTCCAATAACATTGGAAAATGGATTAATTTTGACAAAAGAATAAATTTTTCTTTCAAATGCTTTCAAAATCAGTTAGAAAAAAATAATTATTAAATATAAAAACAGTAGAAATCAAACAAAGAGTTATTATTTAAATATTTTAATTTAACTTTTAAAAATCATCATATTAATTATTATTATTTAGTTATTGAATCAATTGACTTTTTTTATATATAAATTGTAGATACGTATACATGTGTCTAACAAGATTTAAATTATTAACATAAATATTATAAAAAATTATTAACAAGATTTATATACTAATAATATAATATATTATAAAATACACACAAATATAGTATTTATAATAATAAATCAATTTTGTTAAAAAACTTATATCAATTTAGACAAACTGAATGCCTAACCAATTATATATGATATTATTTCAGTAAATAAAATATTATAAGTGATGGTTAAAATGATAAAACTTAAAATTTTTAAAAGAGAAGAAAAAACTGAGTAAAGCCTGGAAATTGCAATCACCAGAAGCAGTGAATGGAGGGTAGACCTTACCCAAAATTAATCATTAGGTGTGGTGTCCACCCATGAGAAAGGAAGAGGGACACTTGAACTAGTTTCCCTGTGACAATTTAAAGCTCATAAAAGTTAAATAATAGATAAGAACAAATCACATTATTATAAATCCCACAGGTTCAAAATACAGTGGCTGTGCTGACTTTGTGTCACAATGTTTGGCCACCTTGAAAGCATATCCGAATTGCTTTTCACTTTTGCTAATTGATTAGCATGACCCTTTTTATTTTAAGATGAACAACATCACTTACCAGTTCAAACTAGTCATTTAATTATCTTAATTTTAAGGAAAATGGTAATAAATATTTTGAATGTACCAATTCAAAAAAATTAAATTTTCATAAAGTATTACCGATATATATCATTGTAATTTTTTTTTATTAATATTTTCATCAATATCTTTAAAACATTAATCTTACTTTTTAATAGTCTGTCACATCTATTGCTAAATATCTACTCCTATTTTGAGAGGTCATATTAGCCAGTTACCACACGCAACGCAAGTGCAGTCTTCTATTAATCTTAAACAGAGCCGAAAAGAAACAATAGAAGATCATTCTTATTTTTAAAAAGAAAATTCCAAGTTGAAGGCTAAAAGGATGATTAGCTTGGCCATGTTGCTTACATAATTAACTGACTTTGGTGTCCAAACAAGGGAAACTACTTCTAATCTCCCATGGTAATAGCAAATAAGGTGGACTTTAAGATAGACGATGGGCCCAAAAACGCTCTCAAGAAAATCAAGAAAACAAAAAATCTCATTGAACAAAACTTTGATATTAATACTTTTTATTAATCAAAATTAAGGCTTTATTTTGATAACTTGTAAATAATTGTAATTTTATCCGTTCATAGATACCGGTGGAGAAAGATGTTTTTCTTATTCTGAATGATCCAATCTGTTATTAGACTATCATGATCTTATGTTCTAATTATATCGTTAAGATTATAATTAAGGTTATACATATTCATTAAATTAAAAAGACAAATATTTCCCACAATAAGATTAAGAGAACACATCTTGGAATTTGATACTTATCCATCAAACTAGGACCCACGCACACAACTTGGAAGAAAAAGCCACCTTAACCACTCTCTAGTCTTTTGTTCACTTTGGGGTGGGTACTAGGTAGCCTGTATAACCATATAAATACTACAATGACCCGCCTTGGCAATCCCTGCTTTCATTTTTATTTCAATACTTAGCAACTATAGTCGGAGCTGAGATTGGTGCAAAACCAAAAATATGTTGGCCATTTTCCACAAGACTTTTGCTCATCCACCTGAAGAGCTGAACAGTCCTGCATCTTACAAAGGCTCTAAAAAGCCTAAGGTTCCTGAGGAAACTCTCAAAGATTTTCTTTCCCATCATCCTCATAACACTTGCTCTATGAGCTTTGGTAATGCAGCTGTGCTAGCTTATGTGCGTCCTGATCAGCCTTTCTCTCTTCATCAAAGGTTATTTAATATTCTCTTCATGTTGATCGAAGGGATATTTATACTAAACTTTCTTAAAGTTAGCATTAATTAAGGATTCACTTACTTTTGTTACTTTATTATTAAGAGTACTTTGCCTAAGGTCACCTAAAAGTAGAGTTTAAAAATAAAGGGTATAAAGTATGGAGTTGGAGGGTAGGTGTAATTTTTCAATTAAACAAGGTTTAGTATACCAAAAAAAACTGATTTTTCCTTCTCACAATTGCAGATTGTTTTGTGGTATTGATGACATATACTGTCTATTCTTGGGGAGCTTGAACAATTTGTCCATACTCAACAAGCAATATGGTTTGTCAAAGGGTACTGATGAGGCCATGTTTGTGATTGAAGCTTATAAGACTCTCCGTGACCGTGGTCCCTACCCGGCAGATCAAGTTGTGAAGGAACTTGATGGAAGGTTTGCCTTTGTTGTCTATGATAGCAAGGTTGGAAGCGTCTTTGCAGCACTGGTATGCTAATTTGGCTATCTATTTTTAATATGTTACAACATCTTGCGTGCTCCTAGTAACATGCATAGCATATTTGTGTTGCTTTTCTTTAAAGTATTCGAGTACATCTAATAAAGATGTTGATCATGGCTTTGAAGGGTTCTGATGGAGGAGTGAAGTTGTATTGGGGTATTGCAGCTGACGGATCTGTGGTGATCTCTGATGATCTAGAAGTCATCAAAGAGGGTTGTGCCAAATCTTTTGCTCCCTTTCCAACAGGTACAAAATTCATTCAAATGAATCAGATAATTTCAGAGTATTACTAACTTTAAATGAGCTCTTGCTAAAGTAGTTGTACAATCCTTTGATGTATTCAAGGAAAAAAGTAACAAACGTATACTAAGGATACATTTGGATAATAGCTTAGTTAAGAAATCATTCAATAAATTTTTATTACATAAGATGTTTATACCATAAAATTTCATGACATAAATTAAAAGGAGTTTATGAGAGTAATAAGTTATTTTCATAAGTTTTTTCAAATGTATGTTAGTACATATTTAGTTCAATTTATTTTGAATAAATAATCGCTTATTTCTTTTAATTTTTTGAGAGGGCTTTTGAAAAAGTAAGATAAGCTAAACCAAACACGCTTAAATATAATAATATAGATATAAGATAAGATCCTTGACATGTTGGTGTTGGAATGCAGGGTGTATGTTCCACAGTGAAGGAGGTTTGATGAGCTTTGAGCATCCAATGAACAAGTTGAAGGCAATGCCAAGGGTAGACAGTGAAGGGGCCATGTGTGGGGCCAACTTCAAGGTTGATAAGTTTGCCAGAGTCAACAGCATTCCTCGAGTGGGAAGTCAATCCAATTGGATGGAATGGGACCAACATTAGCTCAACATCTAAATCTAAATCTAAATGTATATAAACCTTATGGTTCAATCTTCATGTAAAATAAAAATCTTCCCCACCCTACCCTACCTTTCTCAATTTAGTTTGTTTTGTGTTGTTTTCATGAAGTGTTTTTTCAGACATTAACATAGTTCAACTCAGGACCATGTGTGTCGTTATACATGAGGAACCACGCTAGCATAATAGCTGCATTTGTCTTGATTCAAAATTCTCGTATGAATTGAAATAATTAGAGTCTAGCCAAAATTTTGTGTACACGAGATATAAAATAAGATACATAAATTATTAATGGAGAGGCCACGCACTAGAATACTGTCGAGGATGTGGAAGCAACACATACAACAAATAAATATTTCCTCTTTCTTTTATTAAACATTATCTTATACATTCTTTAGGTAAGACACTAATTTGGTTAATATGAATTTGCTACATAAAATATAAATTTTGAGCTTAAGTTTAAATTAAATTTAGGTTTTTTAGCTTGATTTATTTAAGGTCGATTCGAATTAAACTCGCAAAAGAAAGAGTTTTACCACGCTTGAACGTTCTTTTTGCAAGTTCATTTAAACTCTTATAACCTACTCTATCAAAACTAATCACTTAAATAAGTTGAATAGTCCGTTTTCTCAATTCTATTTGAGAATAAAACCTGATTGGTGGCAAAGATTTAGAATTATGCACTACTTGAATATTAATTGAAAAATTTCTAAATACATTTTTTTATTAATTATAATGAAAATATACTAAACTTCCAGAAAATATATTATCGCAATTTTAATAATTTTTTAATTCTTTATTATTTATTTATTTGTTAGACCAATATTAATTAGTGTCATAAAAATATTAATTATTTTGATTAAAAATATTATTAACACACTCAAACAGATTTTTACTAATTCTTTCAATTTTTATTCTGTTTAATTAAAAATTACACATTATATTCAGCGAGTTGTACACTCTCAACACTCTGCACCGTTGTTCTCTCACTTCGGCTGAAGATGGGTGATCGGTTCTTTCCGAACGATATGCCACGCTTTGTGGCAGAGAGCACTGAACAAGCTTCAACCACAGACTCTCTCTCTACCCTTCTTTCTCTCTCTTACCAAACCCTTTCTGCAAAGTTCCAAGAAGCAGCATTTCACTTGAAACAATCGGTACTCAAAACTTTTTTTTCAGTTTCCTCAAAATTTGTTTTTTGGCTCTTCGACTTTGTGGGTTTCTTTAAATTATCGTTCTTCGATTTTGGGTAGGCTCAAGTTAGTAACTTTTGCGTTTGTGCTATGGTGGGTCGTTGTGTATTTTCCCATCAAGTGTTTGTGCTTTGTTTTCTGATTCTTCTTCAGGTGGTGAGGGAGACATGGGGTTCGAGTGGGAAGCGTGTGAAGGACTATACCCTTTACACTGGGGCGCTTGGGACAGCATACCTGGTTTTCAAGGCCTACCAAGTAACAAAGGATGGGAATGATCTTTTCTTGTGCTCGGAGATTGTTAAGGCTTGTGATTCTGCTTCAGAAAAATCTGGGTACTGTCCCTTTCTTGCATCAGAGGCTATCATGATTGGTGACTTAGTTATTGGACAGGGTTGGTTTAAAATGTTTAAGTTAAGGATTTTAATTGTTGAAGAGTTGCTTGGATGTTAGCTTACCTATGAATTAATATCTATTGTTGTCTGGTTATGTGCTAGGGAATTTTGAGTTGTGTTTAAGTTAGGGGAATTACTAGAACAAGAATTTGGAAGTGTTTGGAAAAGCTTAAAATAAACAGTTACAGTTACAGTTTCAGCTCAATATGTGAAGGAAATTGATTTTGGTTTAATTTGATAATATATGGGTTATAGCCGCGTGACATTCTTATGTGGGCGTGCGGGTGTTTGTGCTCTTGGTGCTGTCATAGCTAAGCATGCTGGTGATGAAAGACTACTTGACTATTACCTGAGACAATTCGAAGAGGTATTTTGTTGTAATTTTTCTGAACCTTGTGATGCTTCTGATTTGTACACGTAATTGTTCAGTTGTTTGACTGCTTTTCATCTTTGTGAATTTGCTTTGAGAACAGATTGTGATACCTCGTGATTCGCCCTATGAGCTACTCTATGGCCGAGCAGGTTACTTATGGGCTTGTTCATTCTTAAACAAGCATATTGGTAATGACACAGTACCTTCTACCCACATGGTAAGGTGTATGTACTTTGCGAGTCTTGGCATTTTTCGTTTGCAATTTTTTTTGACAATACGGGCTTTTAAATTTTATAGAGATCAGTTGTAGATGAAGTTATTACAGCTGGTAGACAATTGGCTCACAAGGGAAGGTGTCCTTTGATGTATGAATGGCATGGGAAGAAATATTGGGGTGCTGCTCATGGACTTGCAGGAATTATGCATGTTTTGATGGACATGGAACTCAAGCCACATGAGGTGGAAGATGTCAAGGGTACACTACGTTACATGATTAAGAATCGTTTTCCAAGTGGCAACTATCTCTCCAGTGAAGGAAGTGTATCTGACCGGCTTGTGCATTGGTGTCATGGTGCTCCTGGAGTTGCTCTTACACTTGTAAAAGCAGCTGAGGTAATATTTTCTTTAGTTGCCAGATTCAAATGCAAACTGCGTGCAGAGTCTATAAGATGTAAAGGAGCTGGTAAATTGATGATCTGCATGAATTTAGTCGCAATGGATTTTGTAGTTTATTGTTTCATTTGAAAAATATGAATAACTAATAGTAGTTAATGCTTATGGTGGTATGGAGACTGAATTATGGGCGGTTCAGTTACTAAATAATGTGAGTAATTCATTTTTTGAACAAATTTATTTACATCAGAAGTCATACTCCCGAGTACAAGCATGGAATTATTTACTGCTTCTGGGTTGCTTTTGTTTTACATAGTAGAATTTATGCAATTATTCTTTTGCCGACATCTCAAATACATGCTCAGATCTCATGACTAGATTCCTTACCATAACCATTAGGTTTTTGGGGACACAGAATTTTTGCAAGCAGCTGAAGATGCAGGAGAAGTAGTATGGAATAGGGGTCTGCTTAAGCGAGTTGGAATGTCTCATGGCATAAGTGGGAACACCTATGTCTTTCTTTCTTTGTACAGATTGACAGGAAAAATGGAGTACTTGTACAAGGCTAAAGCATTTGCTTGTTTCCTTCTTGATAGAGCACAAAAATTGATCTCAGAAGGAAAGATGCACGGGGGAGATCGTCCTTACTCCTTGTTTGAAGGTCTTGGAGGAATGGCATGTACCTGTTTAGACATGATTCATCCACAAATGGCGAAGTTCCCGGGCTATGAACTTTGAGTCACTTGATACATGATGTATTCTGACATATTTTGTAAATATGAACAAAAACCAACTCCGGAAATTTGGCTCTGAAATGTAATATGATATGTATCGGAGTAAACAATGATGCATGGTTCCAGCTCTTCATGTTTTTTCCTTTTGGTCTAAGATCATCTGTATCTAAATATCATATTAGGCATTTGAAAAATTGATAATAGCATTCCATGTTTATCCTCAATTAAAGTTAAACTCAATTATTACATTAATTGTTAAGATGTTTGAAAGGTTAAAAAATATAAGGTAAATATGTGGAAAAAAATAGTAATCGTTTCTAAAACTTTGTAAATGATTTTATATCAAGGATCAACTAAAATCTCAAAAAGAATTTTAATAAAAAAGGTCAAAGGGAGTACATTCTTAACACCCTTATTTTGTAAGGATTAAAATTTATGATTAAATTAGAATAAGGGGTAGCTATATGACATCGCAAGGCTAGAATATAGAACTTTTTTTTTTTACCTATTAGGTTCATTCTGCCATACCTTTAAAAACAATGTTACAGTTAGCTTCTCTCTTGGTTAACAAAAAAAATTTAAGTAATATCTCGAGAGAATTTAAAAATAATAATAATTTTCTAAAATAAATCAGACACGATCTGCAGTGAGCACTAAGGGAAAATAAAAAGAACAAGATAAATAAGATTATGTATGAAAAACTTATTATCCCACTCATAATTTTATTAATATTTCCATCTAACTAATTAACTTGCTACTTTTTCAAAGGAAGAAAACCCCTATCTGGTGCTTCCTGCATGTTGCTTGTGCAATTGATTTGTTATGAAGCAAGATCTTAATTAAACCATTTGATTTTGAGTTCACTTAAATAACTATTAATGAAAAAAAAAATTAATGAGACCCAAGATAGGCAATGAAAATAACACCTCAAACTACTATTTGTAGTTACTATACACAGTTATTTCAGAAGGTTTATGAGCAACTTCGCCACACCCACATGGTTGAATGATTTTATTGTGAGTCTTGATGAACAAAAGCCATTTGACACCCTACATCAAAGCCAAAAAAAGTTCCTAGCAAACAAAACATCATTAGCGCACTCAAAATGATAGAATATCTACTCTTCTGAGATGTCATTTTCCCACATGCAAGTGCAAGGTATCACTAATCTCCTCTCACTTAGGCCAAACCAACAAGTTTCTCACTAATCTCCCACACCTTACGAGCCTTCTCTGCATCACTTGCTTCCTGTGACAGCTGGTTTTCAAATGAAGCTGAGGCTTTATTCCAGCTCCAGTAAACACCAGACTTTGTTAGGCTTGGTTCACTCACAACCTATATTAAAAACACCATACATTAGAAATTAAGATATTTCAATAATTCTTATTCTTTTTATCATTATCTTTATTGCTATTACCTGAGCAAGTCTCTTTCCTGCTTCATCTTCTGAGACAAAGCCTTTGGTTATGTACTTTTGGAATGGAGGGAAGAGGGTTCTGAACAAGGGAATGTGCTCTCTAAACAAGCCTGTTGTGGCAATGCAACCTGGGTAGAGTGAAGCAAATGTGATTCCAGTTTCCTCGTGGTATCGTCTGTGGAATTCTTGCATTGTGAGCATATTACACACTTTGCTGTCCTTGTATGCCTTGGCGCCATCAAAGTCTCCACCATCTATCATAGATGAACTGTTTAGTCCATTCAAGCCACCGGCAAGTCCCCTCAAGTCACCAAGGTTAGCCTTGGGAGGTACATTTCCAGCCAATGTGTTTGTGTTCCCTGTTGAATCCACACAATCAGCACAAGAATGCGAGCAAATAGTTGATGGTAAGAACTGGAATTCACAATAAACATACTAATGAACTAGACCTGTGATTGAACCAACGATGATCAATCGCTTTGAAGGGTAATCAGATTTGTTCAAGTCCTCAAGCATCAGGCGCGCAAGGAGAAAATGCCCTAGATGGTTTGTCCCAACACTAAGTTCAAAGCCATCAGCAGTGAAGGTAGGTTCCTTTGCAGTTGGTAAGTACACAGCAGCATTGCAAACCAGCACATCAAGTGGCATGTCTGGTCTTCTGAAGTTCTCTACAAATTGGCGAACGCTGTCAAGAGAGGCAAGGTCTAAGTGCATGATGGTGTAGTTTTCCTTCGCTATGCCAGCAGATTTTGCAGCTCTTGCAGCTTTGAGGAAATCCCTGCAGGCCATAATTACATGCCATTTTCCTGTCTCAGCCAAAGCCTTAGCAGTGGCCAAGCCTAATCCAGAGGAAGCTCCAGTGATCACAACATTGCCCTTCCTCAATGTTTTCTTGCCTTCTGGTGCAGACTTGTTAACTGCTGGAGTTGTTGTAGCCACTGTCTCAGCCCTCACAGAACCAGCTCTTTGTTGGAATTCCCTCTGATAGAGAGGGGAGAAAACAAAAAATTAGATTATAGCCCCAAAACTGAGGGGATATTACATAGTGCTTTGTAACGAAATTGATTAAAGAACGAAGATCAAAAGTTCATTTTTGGATACGCTAACCTCTTTTTAAATAATGACTTATGCTGTAAATTTAACAATAAAACTTATCCAAATAAGCTGAAAATAACTTACTTTGATAAATTATACAGAAGAACTTATTGAAATAAGCTGAAAAGAGTTAATGAAAGTTATAAGCTGTCCATAAGTTCTTCTATAGCCGCCCTTTAACAAATACGTAATCACACAACGAAGCCTGATGGAATCTAAATTCTAGTGGTTCTAGAATTTTTACCATGCACTAGCTTTTTACATGAGAAACCTTAAACAAATGCGGTATGTGGAGTTCAATTTACGGGGAAAAAAAACTAAAGAAATAAAGCCAAATATCTTAATATACTCAGAGATAAGTAAGAAACAACTAAATGGAGAATTGAGAAGTTAGGAGAGCTTTAATTTCTACCTTGTACTTCAATGCAGAAGAGCTGAAGTCAGCTTTGAGAGATTCTGACAATGAAAGACCAAACAAAGTGGAGTCCTTGAGAGAAGCACTAGATTTTCCCTGTGAAAAACAAAGACATTTACCAAAACTTGAATTCAAAATTATCTCTACGGAAACAGAATACATTAATAAGAAGAAGCAACAGGTTCTTGGAGGAGAAAGGAATTGAAGTAAACCTCTTTAGGAATGGAGAAAGAAGCAGGAACCAAAGAAGCAGCTTGGAGAGCCATTGTAAGAAAAAAAGTAGAAACTGGGTACTCCGCTATACAATGTACCACTCAGTAAGCAAAACTAGTGAGTTCAAGTGGTGTTACCACTGCGGTAATGAAATGTGTGGTTCAGATGTGTGTACTTGAAAATGAAGTTATATAGTGAAGAAGTGTTGCTTTTGATATGAGAGGATAAGATAATTTGCAGCATGTGCACATGCCACGTCATTTCCAACCAACCAATGGGGTGTTGAATTTTGGATTTCTTAAGAAGGGATATTTTGATCCGTTGCCAACAAGAGCCACTCCATTTGTTGTTATGGCATATGGGCTGTGAATATCAGTGCTGAAAGTGATAGGTGGAGTGGAGCTAATTTCAGATATAATATGAATACAAAGCCCTTTTTGGCAGCTTCCTCTATTGGGTGGCATGTTGTGGAGGATTCATTGCTCATTTCTTCTCAAAAGAAGAAACTAGAAACTTTTCAACACTGCAAGTTGAAGCTGGCCGAAGGCCTCAACATGTTCCTCTAACCCAATTTTTTTGTCATAACCCAACATTTTTTTTGTGTCAATCAGCCCAATTAGCTCAAGGGACTCCAGACAGTTGCAAGATTGGGCCTACTGTGAAAAAAGATCTTAATTGATTGTGGGCTAAGACAGGAAGTTTGTGTGTTACCAATACCATCCTTGTAAGACTGCCCAATCAAACCTGTAAGGCTGTACCTGTAACCGACTAGCTTAGCACTGTGGTGCATCTGTTCAAGTGTGTGTAAGTACATGATGATTAGTGCATTCTTGGTAAAAAAAACACAAAACCAATGAGTTGACAAATCCTAAATAATTGCACAAAGAAGACAAGAATCTTTATCTAAAGTAGTTTTAACAGAAGATTCGGTATGCTAGCACATGTTGAATTGGTTTGAGAGATCGTGCTATATTTTTTAATTTCTATGTTCGGTATGTCGGTATCACAGAAATGTCCTATATTTCGGAATCCAAGTTCTTCATATTTTCTAGTAAATTTCAATTTAAGGAATTAATCAGTCGTCCTCTACCGTAATGAGTTGAAGTGTTGCGCCAATGAACACGTTAGTTTTCACATTTCAAATGAGATTATAAGATCAGATTTCCTAGTAGCGCCTGGCCCATCAACTCCTATAAAGTTTACATAGAGTGAATAGAAATTTATATAACATGAAATCAACTGTTAAACATAACACCCCATTATCTTCATCTAGGCTGTAAACAAACCCGGAATATGTAAATACATCAGCTACTGACAGCAGCAGAGTATGGCCGTCGGGGTTCATTCAGCACCTGTAATAAGCTATTCAAAACGTGTCGACAAATATCAAACACGTAAGCAACTGAGTGCTTCGGCCACAAAATTTTCTTATTAAGAGAAATTTTTCAGATTCTTTTATCTTGTGTTGCGCAGATAAACTTCCAGACTGAATAATGCCAGTAGTGACGTTAATAACACTTGCAGCCATAATGGTTTATTAAAACGATTAATTTGGACAAGATATTGAATTACATAACAAAACTCAAGATAAGTGTAAAAGAATCATAATTTCTAATTTCAATAAACTTTTCCCATGCTCGCGTTACTCTACATTTCCCTATTACATCCATTGGTTTCTAAATTCCTGGTGTAACTTTTTTTTTTTTTCTTTTTTTGGTTTTTGTTTGACAATGTTTCCCTCCGTTTATCCCCTCAGTGCCTGAATGGAATGGCAACCTATCTTCATCCAACGCACAAGAACAAGAAAAGAAATGGAACCCCGCTAATATTACAAATCTCACCCACTTTTCTGTACAGGTTTTCGCCAACTAATGGAGAAGGTGAAGTCTACTGCCATATGACCTGTTATCATCAACTCATTCTCTGCCATGCTCACTCATAAGCAAGAATGCATGTTCTTTCACCTCTTATATCCGAAGTGGAAATCCAAAATTTTGGAAAGTTCTAATTTCCCCTCGGAGGCCGGCAGTTACAATCACCATACCCCAGGCTGACATTTTTTGACTTATCCCATTAGAGAAATCCACACTAACCCGAGGGCTTTGGTTTCTTGCAGCTAAAAGAAGTTTTTCCTCAGGCCATGTTGCAGAAATTCTATCAAAAAAGTAACTATTGGTGGCACTTGCAATGGTTGCATGACGTGGACTATTGTTGTAACCTGATGCAGATCTTGAACCCTCGGTACCAAAGTTTTCCTCTACAGGGGTAGGAGGGTGATTGGCTGACAAAACTTCATCTGCATTATTATCAAGCTCAGGTTGTTCTCCAGAAAATGTACCATGCATGTCCCATGCATCACCCATACCAGGCCAGGGAATGGCCACCGACACATCTTTACAGTGAAAATGTTCATATGAGCGGGTGACAGTGACACCTTTACTTCTGTTAGGCCTGCAATCAGCTTCATTTTTCCAAATGTATACATGGGAATCCTCGCTTGCTGCAACAACGTATTTACCATTTGCCGTGAGGGAAGCTGAAATGGGGCTAGTGGCATTTCGAAAGCCTGCACAAACAATTTGATAAACAAGGAAATAAATATACTGAAGACCTGTTGCCATTTGGGCAAACTTGAAAGGCTAGCAAGACTACAATTTTTATCATCATTCAAATAAACATACCATATATTTGACATAAATATTCTCCCACTCCAGACACAAATAAAAAATCGTTAAAAGTTTTGCTTTGATCATAGGATTAAACAAAACAAATTTTAATATATAGACGAAAGCAGTTTACCAAATGGTTCATTCACTTGTTATATTGTCATGTAAATAAATCCCACTTGATATATAACTACATACCTTTAAACTTATGAACCAGATCAACGCCATCAACAACCCGAATTCGTGAATCAGCAGATGAAATAAGTACTTCTGATGAACTTCCAGGGGCAAACTATTAATAAAAATCAGTTAGGAAGACGAGTATACACACTGTAATTCAGTCAAAGAAAATGGACTACAGTTGTATACACTCCTTTTTTATTTATTTTTTCCCAGTTCAACATTTTGGATGGGTACAGAAAAAAAAAGAAGCACATCTCAAAAGCACAGCAGTAGATCACCACATTACCTGGAAACCAGTAATTTTCTTGTGATGTGATTTCTTTTTCTTGTTCTGCAGATTGATCTGACTCTTCTGTTGCAACTTATTTTCTGAATGAAATATAAAAACCATATGATAATCAGTGGTCCCACAATCATCATAATATTGATTGAATAGACACAGTTTTTAAAAAAAAAAAGAGCCTCTGACAGTACCAGATGTATTGTATAAATGGCAGCTACCCTTGTATGAACCAACAAGTGCACCCTGTAGCAGCAAATTAAACTGAGTTGCAACTTAAAATTGAATATCCCCAGTATTAAAAAATAGATGCATATTAACCTTGGACCAACCTGACCATCAGGTGTATAACAAGCAGCAGTGACCATCTCATGCAGATCAGTCCAATCAACAACTTGTCGATCAGGAATGCTCCATATGCGAACCTTAGCATCCAAAGATCCGCTAATGAAGTAATTATCATCAACAGGATTAAACTGGATGCAAGTTACTGTGCCAGAGAGAAAGAAGATTGAAAGCAAAAGGCTTAATTAGCAAAGAACAAAAAGGGGGAGGGAAGCAATGCAATTGCTTTGATTGCTAAATTTAAGCACTGTGGTGGACATTCAAGAAATCTTGTACGATTAGTCCGATATTAGCAAAGACAAATATTTTGACAAAATTTTGCTTGGATGCCATAGTGTGATTTCCTAATCCTCAAAGACGGGCTGTATCAAGAATTAGATTGGATAGGGATTGAATGGACTGGGAATCTAATTCAATTTTCAGTTGGGAAGAGGCAGAAGAAACTTTCATAAAAACACATAAAAAGTTATGTGTGTTCTGCCATTTAATCGAAGTTATATAACCCATAGGAATGGTCTTATATTATATCAACCCGGATTAAGGGAGAGCAAATATGAGAGCACTGCAAGATGTAATAATAACAGCATTTACTCACCATAGTCACTGTGTGAAAAAATTTTCAAACAAGACTTGCTAGACAAATGCCACAGCCGCACTGTTTTGTCCATTGAAGATGAGAGCAAGTGCTGAACAAAATGGGAGGAAAAAAATTAAAACGATGATATAAAATTACAAGCATTTTTAACAGACATGAATCATAAATATCTCTAAATTTAAAAAAAATTAGATACCCTTCCCCCCACTAACAATTGAAGCTTTTCAGAAACATTTGGGCTAGCAATAAATATCAATCATTACAATTCATTCTTCAAATTTCAGTCACTCCAAAAAGTGCTCATCCCGGTCCGAGTCTCTTTATTGTGCAACTCAAATAGGGGTTGAGTTAAAAATCAAGCTAAAACTTTCAAAATTTTTGTTTGGAGAGGATAAAAATTTCAAATGTATCAATATAAATTAGAACCAGTTATAAATATCATTCATTTGTCTAAACATTGGGTCTGACCTAGTTCAACAACAAATATTATTTGGTACATTCTAGTAAATCATTTATAAGATTCCAAACAAATTACAAGGCCAGCAGGGGAGATAAGTATATATTTCATTTTGGGAAAAAAAAGGGATAAGATTACAGCCAACTTAGTTCAGAATTGCTTTTGGGTCAGCTAACTAAGAAACTGATAAAAAAAATAGAAAACTGATTTTTAAAGTTTGAGCAATTACTAACAACAATTTTAATTAGCTCTACTGTGCCTAGTAAGTGGTTATATTTATTTTTAAGTTTAGCAAACACTACCTAAACTTACATAGGGTAGAATGATTATTTGACCTGTATATACGCTTAAAACAAGATCAAATCTCAACCATTCATCATAAAGACAACCCATCTAACAAACACTCCTATGTTCCAAAAAGAGCATCCTAGGCAAGTTACTGACCTGCGGATATTCTCTGTGTCTTTTGAGCAGAAAATCAGAGTATTTCACTATCAAAGTAATCATTTATTATAAAGACATCTTAACACATACGGCCATCCTTTTGTGTATGGGTTACCTCTCGAAATTAATTAATAATTTAATTTTACATTGCTTTTCAAGGAAGCCCTAGAACAACAGTGTAATTCCAAAGGAACAAGGCAGCAATTTAGACCCATTAAAATCAGAAGTTGATAATTCAATGTGATAGGGCGTAGAAGAAAAGGAGAAGATTCATAAAACTTCTCATTGGGAAAGAACTTTATCTACTTGATCCTGCAATACATATCAGTGATATCACAATAGTTCAGCCCAAACTTGTTGCTTGTGTCCTGTGCATAAATATCTTGCATACCAAAATAACCAGAAAACACCAAACAAAATAGTCTCATCATCTCCCTCAAGTAAGATAACCAATGTTATGTAAACCACACATCAAATACAACAGATACTTCAATTTGAAATCCATATTATGTCCATTGATGCCCATTCAGCCACTTGAAAACGGACCCATCCCAATCAATTATATAGAAAATGCTGAATCTGCGTGTTAAGGATACAGAGTTGAAAAAACAAACTCACTCAAACTGTCAAGCAAAAGTGAATTCATCAGTTAACAGAAAAACAAAGAATATGTCTACTTACGAGCAAATCCAACATAATAACAACCCATACCCAGCGCAATTCAAGAGTGAACTAAATAAACAAACTTTACAATTATACAGAGACAATGAACACCACGCCAGAATTAAAGAACAACAAAACCTATCTCAAAAACAGAGGCTAACCTGAGACTTGGACCAGGAAAGGTCAAGTACATCGTGGAGATGGCCTTGAAAGGAGCAAACAGGCTTCTCAGTGAGCGCAAACACAGTATCGGGAACCACAAACTGGTCCAAGCTCAAGGACTTTCTACTAATGGAGGACCTCCCCTTCCTCTTCCTCTCGGGATGGTTATCCACAAGAGGAGACAGCAATGTTGGTTCGGGCGATCCATTCACCACCAACAACATATTAACATTAACATCCTCAGGCTTCTCCATGAGCAGCAACTCCCCTTTCCTCTCAGACTCCACAACCTGCCACACATGAATGACACAATCCTCACCAGCACTGGCAAGGTACTTGCCATCCAAACTAAACTTAATGCTCCAAATGGATCCACTATGAGCCTGAATCTCCTGGCTCTTATACAATGCAGTTAGCTCCTTACAAGACTTCCCATACTGCCTAACTCTCACTCTCTCAGGTCCATGAAAAGAAGCATCCTGGCTATCATCCGTGGCGGAACTCGACCTCCTCCCTCCCTTCTCCGACGACGTGTCCCTCTCATCGCTACTCCGCCGCTCCTTATGCCCCGCCATCGCCATCGAACTCGCCACGCTCTTGATACTCTTCAACCACCCCCCTCCTTTCTTCTTCACCTTAGAACCGCCATTGCCATTACCACCACCACCTCCACCACCACCACTCCCTCCACTGACATTGGCATCAACATTGTCTTCCTCCACACTCTGACGGCGCATTAACTCCTGCACGATCGGAGAATGGCCCACCGTCATTTCAAACTCCTCCATAGTCAATTGCCTCCCAGTTCCAACCTCCCTTAGCTTATCCCACATCCCATCCTCCCTCACTTCCTTCACCACAAACTCCTTCCCGTTATCAAGATCCCTTATCGTACAGACCTTCTCTTCCTCCTCGGAAACCCCAAAATCGACGGACGAGTCGCTTCTCCGGCAATTCTTCCCGGAGGGTGGCTTACTGGGAGAATCTCCGGCGGAGAGATTGGGGTTATTTACAAGCGGAGTGGAATTTTGGTGGCGAGAGGAAGAAGAAGCAGCGTCTGATTTGGATCGGACGATGGAGGAGTGATCGGAAAGTCCCATAGTTTGAAAGAGGCGCGTGCGGCGTTCGGAGACGGAGGAGGGTTGGGAGATCCATATGTCGTAGTTGTTGAGGGCGAAATTGTGATTGTGATTGTGATTGTGATTGTAATTTTGTTGTTCTTCTTCGTCAGAGTTGGAACATGAACATGAACACGAGGAAGAGAGAGAGAGCAAACGGTCGTGAGAGTCGTAGAAGCAATCTCGTTCTTCGTCTTCTTCGTCTTCTCCGAGGGCTTTGCTCATCTTTGAAGTCGATTGGGCATTCCCATTGCCAATGAAAATGCCCCTTTCCCAGCCCCTTACTCAATTCGATCCCATCACTCTCTTCTGTTAGATCCGGCGATTAACGGAGAGAGAGAGAGAGAGAGAGAGAGAGAGAGAGTTGTTTTCTTCCTTTCTTTCTCAATAGAAAAATGTCTGAGAAAGTGGAAACGAAGTTTGTTTTGATGCGAATGCCAATTCCTCACAACACCAACAAACAACAATACGGAAGGATACTTTTTTCTACCCTTTCGCCGTTCTCTACTTTCCTCGGGTGAAGCCTCACTCCTCAACCCCTCAGGCCTCCTCTTTTTCACCCAATTACAATTTCTCTTCCTTCTTCCTTCTTCCTTCTTCTTTTTTTAATTAATATATATTCAATCTTTATTTATATTAACAATTTTTAAAATTACATAATTAAATATTATGCCACTCTTTATGGATCAATTTAATATTATATAATTTTAAATTTACCAAACAAGTCATTAATTCAAGTCACACATGTTTATTTTTTTTAAGCAAAGTTTTAAGTTCAAATTTTGTATATGGAAAAATGTTCAAAAAATTAGTTTCATTATATTTTACATATTTTCTCAACTTTACTACTCGTATCTTCCGGTGGTCTTACAAGTGTAAATTTTTTTATATTATTATTTAATTATAAATTATAAGATACGTTAAAAATTATTATTTTTAATCAAATTTACAGTATTTTCCATTCATTAATTAATAAATATGTCCTAATATATTAAAATTAATCTCTTAAATATATTATTTATTATTAATTAATAATGTATTTTTAACATTCGATATGGAGCAACGCATTTAAGTCATTGCGTTTCTTTACATATTCGGACTTTATTTCTTGTCAATAATTTTTATGCATGCGTCATCTTGGCATGGTAAGTTGTTTTATTTTATGTATGCTTATTTTTAAAAGAAGGAAATAATATAATTATATGAATTAAATTTTAATATATTGTTAATATAAACATTTTATATTATTAACTGTTAATGTATTTTAATTAAATTTTCTTAAAATAATTCACCATTCAATAAAGAATGAGATTAATCTTTCAATGTAGTATTTTAATGTATAATCAGTCGGCAAAGACAAAAAAGACCTCTGTTAAACATGTTCCATGCTTAACTGTTGACTCCCAGCAATTCCATTTGCAAATTATTAATTTCAGTGTTGAAGTTTCGTTTTATATATATGCGTGTGGGAATATGAAATATTAATTTCTCTTAAAGATTCCTTCAGAAAAGTTTGAAAATAATTTTTTTAAAAATAAAATTAAAATACACTTATGGTGTCCCGTGAATATTATATAAAATTAAGCTCATAAACTTGACTTTCACGATTAAGTTAAAAGTAAAAGCACTGTAGATCTCCAACCAACAAAAGTTTTCGTGTTCCTCAATTTGTCCCTCAAATAGTATATGTGCTCCTCAAAGCGTGTTGCAGTTTTGTGAGGCATTATAATTATGTCTTGGATTAGCACTCAGCAACATTTTTGTTTTATTTTGGAAATTCAAAGCAACCATCACAACAAAGACATTTCAGAGAGGAATTTTAGGGGCATTTGATTATCCTAACCAGGGACAAATTAAAAGGTAAAGGTGTGTCATTATGCGATTAACACTGTAACTTTGAAAAGTGGTGACTTCCACCCTCCTTACAAGGCTCACCTGAATCATGCATAGGTAGGGATCACTAAACCTCTTTTGTACAATTAAGGATCATGTGCTATTTATTTAAATATATCTTTATCTTTCCTCATAACTTTTTATTATTCTTTTGTTTAATATGATTATAACTCAAACCCATATTAACTTTCTTTTTCTTTTCGCTCTAACCCAAATTATAAGTTTCGATTAATTATTTATGATTATTTTAGTTATTTTGAAAGCTTTTTTTTAATTAAAATATATTTTTTGTTCTTGTAGTTAGTATTTTCTTATATAAGTATTTTATGTTGCAATGCTAGAAATTAAAGCATAATAAAATAATTGTATAAAGATTAAAAAATAAAATTTTAAATATAAAAACTATTTTATATATTATTGTTAATAATAATTATATTTAAGGAATCAAAATTATTCTGTTAATACCCTTTTTTTTCATTGATATTATCTGAACCTTAGACCTTGATTGGGGAAAATAAATTCTTTACTATTTGAACCAACAAAGATCGACAATAGAAGGAATATATTGTTCAAAATAAATAGTGCCCAATGTTTCAATAATTGTGCCAAATAAATAGTCTGCTAACTCGCTTTATACTTATGTTAAGTTTCCTTCCACAGAAATTTTTAAAACAATGCCAGCTGAATGAGAACATTGAGAATAGGGAAGTGAGAATTATTAGAAACATTATATAAGAGTTTAAGACAGGTTTTGTTCAATGACATAAAAGAGAAAGATGTGATGAAATGATTTTTTTTCCTCTCTAAAAAAAACTTGTATGTGTGTAAACTATGTCAACTTATTGTAAATATTGTAGTTTTCTCTATTTTTAATAATAAAAAAAATTAAAGTGAAAGAAGATTATTCTTACTCTGAGAGGAAGAAAAATTATTCATCTCAGCTAGTAACAGAAGATTCCAAAATTTAAACTCAAGTCAAACATTTGATCTGAGCATAGTAAACCCATATTGTTGACAAATAAATAAATTTCATGCATAAGCCACAGATATTAAAAACATGAATTTTCATTCCATTTTTTACCCAAAATAATAGTAATTTTCATCTGCACATTACCTTTAGCATAGCTTAGTCCCTACATGGTGTTCCCTTGGTAATTTGCTATCAATTCCTTTCAAACAAACTTTACTCTTATTTCTTTCATTTTTTACAATAAATGAAGGTAGGGTTCAATTTTATATTTATGTTCTCATCACTACATTTCAAATGGATTAACTTGTCATGTAAATGATAAATTTGGAAACAAAATTATATATATACACACACTTTTAAAAAAATAATATAAGCTGTTATTTTCACAGATGAATTGTATATATTCACCCCCAAAATTTTAAATATCCCTTTCATAGTATATTTTTACTTTTACTTTTTCACAGTTCCAAACTATAAATCTTGATACAATTTAGAATTTTAAAAATCCTCTTATTGTATAAGAAAAAAAAACACATCTTGGCACACAGGAAGACAAACCCACAAATAATATATAAAAAAAGAAAACTTGATTTTCAAATACATGTCTTCAATTTGATTTTCCCACTAGTTACTCTAACATGATAAAAACAAACAAGCTCTTTCTAGCTAGTAAGAATAATGGGATAGGAGAATAAAAATCAAGACACAATGCCATAGGATACATTATTATGGCAAGCACAATTTATAGTATTATGATGGCTAAACCTAAATGTTAGCATCAATCTACTATTATTTTTTATTTTATAGATGTCAATAAATAAATTGATGTATTTTATAGACAACACATCCATATATAATTCTATGACATTAAAGCTTAGTTATATCGCTTACAACTTAATTTGTCGAGAAGTGAAGACTTGGGGTAGCAAAAAATTGCAAATAGTACTAGTTAATTAATTAAATAAATGCTTTACAGATCATCATAACATGGAAACGTATAATGAGCAATCAAGGCGTAACAAGTGCAAAATACATCTACACATGGGGATTATTCTTAAGCCAGTGGATGACTTCTTTCCAAATTGCTGACATTTATTCTCTTCTTCCTTTCTTCCCTTTCTTTTTCTTATTTGCTTCGTCACAATTCTATACTTTTATTTCGCCCCCCCAAGAATGATTCTTTTGTTTCTTATAAGTTTGCAATTGAATGGTCAAGAATCTTGCTTTGGAGCACTAACCTAAAAAAGAAAAAGAGAACAAAATGAAACACAACCAAATAATCATAACATGTTCATGTCAAAAATAAAATAAAATACAAGTGTTAAATTAGACTGGGTATGAAGTTGAACAATAATTTATTTTATTCTTTTATAGTAAATATAATATTTAAATCTTTGAATAGCTCAAAACTACATATTAAGCTAAAATAACTCTTATCGATAAATAATTTAAGTTATTTATAAGAATGAAAACTTAATTAAAAATATAAAAAGCATGACTACTAAAAGTTGCACAAGAGTTAATTAATTTGACATAAGTAAATTGAATGTCCTTTAATTCAACATGACAATAGTAATTACAACTCAATAACAGATGGAAACATGTTGAAGAGAGAGAAAAGCCTGTCTTGTTTTTATTTGTTTCCTCTTTGCAAATGAAAGCGCTGTCCAAAAAGCACCCTGTCTATGGTAAATGGTTAGAAGGGAAAAAGAAAGGTATAGAATATTATTGTCCTAATAGTGACATTCCTTGCATATGTCATGCAATGATTGACTTCATCTTGTAGATTGTGGTCAAACTAAACCTTGCATATCTCACACGCCATGTACATATTTGTATCATTTAATTAGTAATTTACCCCTCTCTGTTATTTCCCTTTCTTTTTAGTAGGCGCAAAGGGGAAGGGAACCTCTCTTTAAGTAAAAGTAAAAAATCAACTTCAACTTTAATGAAATCCAGAGCATAATTAGCCAGAAATAAGGCTTTAAATCTTCAGAGTTACACTTTCCATTTTGGTTTTCTAAGTGGAATTAATAATTTGACTGCTTAAAAAAATTAATATAAAAGACAAGCTCTGTGTTTTTAACTGTGGAAACTACAGTTTTTACCTCTTTAGCTTGATTTATTCTCTACATCTTCCACATTTTACCCTCCAATAATTTTTTTTCTTTAATTTTATCAGTGTCTATTCATTTTGATTTCAATTGGTGTAAACAAAAAAGTTTTGCAATATATCATAACTAGAGATATATCTCAGAACATGCACTTTCAAATTTGAATAGTTTGAATAATCAATGTAAGAGACTCTTGGACAAATTAATGTATTGTGTGTTGTTGGCATAGTTACATTAATAGTTTGAACAACATTAAGTTAGATCATACAAATAATGTATCTCTTAATCCGAGGGGACCAAAAATGAATATGATGTACGGAATCCTCATTCCTTCTTCGGGGTTGAGAGATTAGAGGACAGAAGTTGGGTGGTTCAACTCACCATTTGTTGTTTTGTGTAGTTAAACAAAAAACTAGCAGGTAACGGTATGTGATTATTCAGACATTGTGACTTATCTTAAAATAATGCTGATTGAATTGATGTGATTATTCATGACTAAGCTACTAAATTTTTTTATAAATAAAACAATTTTTTATGCACTATTAACTCTTAATTCTCATTTCAATATTTCAATTCATTCACAATTATTTACTTTCTTTGTATTTGGT